CCATATCTCCCCACATCTCCCCGCATCTCCCCACATCTCCCCGTATGCTGATCAGTAGTGAGCCGTGGTTAGTTCACTTTAATATGGGCCGTGGTTAGGTCGCCCTGCTGCCCGAGGTCGTCACGATGCTCAACAAGAGGCACATGCAGGAGGTGCTAATAATAATAATATTAATAATAATAATAATAATAATAATAATAATAGGCACATGCAGGAGGTGCTCATCGACCAGGGCATGCTTACCACGCTGGCCATGTGGCTCAAGCCGATCCCAGGAGAGGAGAGAGGGGGGAGAGGTGGGGGAGATCTGGGAGATACGCTGGCCATGTGGCTCAAGCCGATGCCAGGAGAGCACCACCCCCACCCCCAACCGGCACTTTAGTCGGTAGGGCACGCCCCCCCCCACCCCCAACCGGCACTTTAGTCGGTAGGGCACGCCCCCCCCCACCTTCCCCCGCGCGGTGTGAGATTGGGGCACCCATGAGCCACGACCGGACCGGCGCCAGCCCCGCTAAGTATTTTATTGGAGAGGGGTTGCTCCTCTACGTCTTGGAGAGGTACTAGTCTTCAATCCTTCAACACACGGCCTTCTGTTCCTCTCCAGACGGATCCCTCGTCTCGCTGCTGTGAACAGCGTCTCTTCACACCTCTAGCTGTGAACAGACGGATCCCTCGTCTCGCTGCAAGTGCGGACCGACCTGCTGCGCGTGCTCGGGCTGCTCGAGGTGGGAGATATGGGGAGATGTGGGGAGATGTGGGGAGATGTGGGGAGATGTGGGGAGATATGGGGAGACCTGCTGCGCGTGCTCGGGCTGCTCGAGGTGGGAGATATGGGGAGATGTGGGGAGATATGGGGAGATATGGGGAGACCTGCTGCGCGTGCTCGGGCTGCTCGAGGGGATGTATTAGTTCCCTCCCACCCAACACTTGCCTCTATGGCACCCGTGGCTGCTAGATTAGATGGAAACAGCTCCTCCTCCTCGTCACGATGCGGAAGAGGTGCACACAAACATGTTGGGAGGTCGCGTGGGACGAAGACATAGACTAGGAGGATGACGAGAGACTGCCCTCGGCTCGCCGCGCTCGTCCTCTGAGGAACCTTCTAGGAACCTTCTAGGAACCTTCTGCTAGGTCGACGAGACGGTCCTCGGCTCGCTGCGCTCCTCGTCCCTCGGAAAGTACGTCCGCCTCTACTCGCTCTCCACAAGAAGGAGACCGCTTGGGACCCTTCTCGGAACCTTCTCGGAACCTTCTCGGAACCTTCTCCTAGGTACGTCCGCCTCTACTCGCTCTCCACAAGAAGGAGACCGCTTGGGACCCTTCTCGGAACCTTCTCGGAACCTTCTCGGAACCTTCTCCTAGGTACGTCCGCCTCTACTCGCTCTCCACAAGAAGGAGACCGCTTGGGACCCTTCTCGGAACCTTCTCGGAACCTTCTCGGAACCTTCTCCTAGGTACGTCCGCCTCTACTCGCTCCACAAGAAGGAGACCGCAGCGAACCGGCACACGGCGACGGCGCTCGTTGAGAAGTGGAAGAGGCCAATCTTCGGCTCTACCACCGCCTTCCAGGCATCTCTCCCCATCTCTCCCCATCTCTCCCCATCTCTCCCCATCTCTCCCCATCTCTCCCCATCTCTCCCCATCTCTCCCCATCTCTCCCCATCTCTCCCCATCTCTCCCCATCTCTCCCAATCTTCGGCTCCACCACAGCCTCCAGGCCTCAGCTTTGATCAGCTCGGGCAATCTCGGCCCATCTCGGGCAACCTCGGGCGATCTCACCCCCCCCCCCACCCACC